TGTGACTACATAAATCATTTTTAATTAACTATGTAAAAATGTACATCAATCATCTAAGCACATAACGCGATACGACATCAACTGTAAATTCTTTTAGATAGCGCGACGTTTTCTTATATAAACAGTATATATACGTAGTCTTGTCTATATATAGGTAATAGCCGTTGGTTTTTCCGGCACACACACACAGACACAAGCCCGACACACCTCCGTGACGTAGTTAGTAGGTATACACGACAATAACACCGGTGTTTACCTACTCCACCAAAATAAGTGATAACTCGGAAAATCACGCGATACGTTGATAAAACGTGTGATAAATTACAGCGACCGATATATTTATTGGCGAAACGAGATTGTCTAACACTGATTTTTTGATAATATTATAAAAAATACAGTTTATATTAAAATTCATTTCCGTGCTAACGTTACGGTAACCTCACTGACAAGACGAAGCATAACGTAAGCGTTGTTTTACGTCGTATATATAAATATATTCGTAATTATAGTAATATAGATGAACCTGAACAAAATTTTTGGAATGCTCAAAGAAAACATTCCTTAGAAGATAAATAAAAAACGATTAACACTTTTCATAGAAAATTCCAAGTCTCTTTACTTTTTATACTTGTCGAGAGGTCAGGAAGAAATGCACGATTAAGGTCACTTATTATAATTATATATTAATTTAAATATGATGTTTTTAAATGTGGGAGAGCCATGCTTCTGCACAAAAGGGCCGGCTCGACCGGAGTGATACCACGGCCTCACAGAAAACCGACGTGAAGCAATGCTTGCGTTGTGTTTCGTCGTGTGAGTGAGGTTACCGGAGGCCCAATTACCCTCCCCTTCCCCTATCTCCCCAATTCCTGAATCCCTAACGATCCTCAAACTCCTAAACCCCAAACGGGTGTTTATGGGCGACGCCTATTGCTTACCATCAGGTGATTCGTCTGCTCGTTTGCCGGCTTATGCCATAAAAAAAAGATGTATAGACGCTCACCTTAACTTTACTGTTGAGGTACAATGCAGTGGTGAGCGCACCGCTGCAGGCCGCGCAATAAGACGCCAGCAACTGCCTGCAAAGAAAAACGCTATCGTTACGAACGGGACATACCAAAAAGAAATTTTTTACATCATGCTTTTTATTTTAACAGAAACAGTATGTAACAAGTCTTATGCTTGCTGAGCTATTAAGAATTTCAAAAAGCTTAATAATGACTCGGGGGGAGGAGGGAGCCTCGGTACGAATGGGCCGGCTCGACCAGAGTGATACCATGCATCTACTTCCAGAAAACTGGCGTGAAACAACGCTTGCGTTAAGAATATATATCGCCGTTTGAGTGAGGTTTTCAAAGGCCCAATCGTCAAATCCCTAACCCGTACAATGTCGACAATACATTGTTACTCCGACACTATTTGTTGCGGGTGCAATGGCCACGGGCGGTACCGATTGCTTATTGTCAAGCAGGTATCAGGTCTGCTCGTTTGCCGCCCCATCCCATAGAAAATCGCGCGTGTACAGCATGCGCGCGGAGGCACGTCGCCGGGGCGAAACCCCGCTGCCGCGCCAGATAAGTGCGTGGCGGGATGAGCTCCGGCGCGATCTCATGGCGGAATGGCAGCAACGACTGTCGCAACCGAGGGCTGGGCTCGCTGCCATCGCAGCGGTAAGTCCCCTCTTTGAGGAGTGGCTTGAGAGACGCTACGGCGTCCTCACCTACCGCCTGACGCAGGTCCTCACCGGACATGGGAGTTTCGGGAGGTACCTGTGTCTGATGGGGCGGGAGGAAACGTCTGGGTGTCATCACTGCGAGGACCGCCCTGAGGACACGGTGGAACACACTGTCGCGGAATGCCCTGCGTGGGCTGAGCACCGCCGTGTCCTCAGGGAAGTGATCGGCGATGGCGACCTCTCGCGTCCGGGCCTAGTGCAGGCCATGATGCGGAGCGAGGGGGACTGAGATGCCGTCTCCTCCTTTTGCGAAGCAGTCATGCTAGCTAAGGAGGAGGCGGGACGCGTGAGGCAGCGAAGCGCTGCCTCCTCGCAACCCAGCCATCGCGAAGGACACACCGGGCGTCGGGGATCGCGGGACGATCTCCGGCCACCGTAAGCGCGGGCCTGCGGACGGCGAGCATGGGTGGCTCCCCGTCCGACCAGAAACAGACCCGAGCGTACGGCGCGTCGCGTTCCGCGCGCGCCTCAAAGAGCCATCAGACCACCACAGATGGGGCCCAATAGGGCCGATGCCGATTCGGAGTCGCGGAGAACCTAACGGGTAACCGGGGCTCCGGCTCGACGTGCAGGAGAAGGAACGGGGTGGTTTTTAGTCAGTAAGAGTCTGACACTCCCTTCCGCCTCACCCAGGCGGGAGCAGTCATTCGATGATTTTCCCCCCTTAAAAAAAAAAAAAATCCCATAGAAAATATTACAAACAACTTGGGAATCGGGCCCGAGTTCACTTATTTCGCAATCACTCATGTAAGTATTTCATCACAAGTAATAATTCCCATAATCTCTAACTGACATCAATCCTAAGCCAACAAGCAAAGTAATCCTATTAAAAAAATATAAGTCTATTACTACTTATAACGTTCTTGTAAAGGCATTGACGTAGCCTTATATATATAACTTATGCCTTAAGCCTAAACAAACTCAAGCGCATTCGTTTTTACATTTCGCTCTTAAAGTTCTGTACAAGACTGCCCTCCAAAAAATTTATAAGGCTATTCAAGGGGGGAAAATCATCCAATGACTTTTCCCGCCTTGGGTTAAGCGAGAGGGAGTATCAGACTCTTACTGAATAAAAACCACCCCGTTCCTACTCCTGCTCTTCGAGCCGGAGCCCCGGCAACTCGTTAGGCCTTCCGCGGATCCGTATACAATAAGATGCTTAAGTGAGATACTAACAAGAGTTTTTACGCTTGTCATTATAGACTCTATTGCGTTTTGTCAAGTATATTATAGGGCTTAATAATATTGTATAAGATGGTTATGTAGCATGTTACTAGACTATTATAAATGAAAATAAAAGTACTCTTAAATAATAATAATTTAAGTATTGATTTTGCTTGTTGGGTAAGTCTTTAGATTGAGGTCGATTTTTTTCGAGGAAACTTACTAAATGTACTTACGCAGGACTTAAAACTGCATCACCAGATCGGTTAGTGTAGTTGACCAAGGCGTTAAACGTCTGATTGGCCCACTGCCAGAATATAATAGCTGGCCTTGTCTTGTAGAAAGTTATCATACCTGGGGGATACAAATAAATATTTTTCAATCATCACTAGGTACTCTAATTCTATAAAATAGGGTATAAATTATCACCATCATTCATTCATTTCATTCCATTCGAAACGAGTATGCGTTCGGCGCTCTGATTGGCCGGCGCCAATGAACCAACCAATCACAGCGCTGAACGCGTACTCGTTACGATTACTTTAAACGTAAAACAAACTCGTACTAGTGCCTCTGGATACTGAATCAGTAAACAGTAGTACTGAAAAACTTTAAAAAAAAATTCCAAATTGATAACGGTAAAATCTAGCAGACTTTTGACTGTGGGTTTTTACCGACTTCAAACATAGAAAGGAGGAGGTTTTATGTCCGGATGATTGTTTTTTGGTAGGTTACTCACATCCTGTGATGAGTGTGTTCATAGGCGCCTGTGCGGACATACGGCCGATTCTGATCATCTTTTCGCCTGTGTCAGGGTGGAATGCGCTGTCGTACAAATATTTAGCAGCCCATAGTTTCTCTTCATTATATCCTGCTGGCATTGACCTTGTTCTCCTGGATATTGTGGATACAAATACGTACTTGTAATATAATTTAAAATAGACATTTATGGACTGACAGAAAAATGGAGATTCAAATTAGATACCTACTTATTTCCTATGCAATTTTTATATGAGTACGAAATTGAAAATTGTGATCTTGCAGAATATTTTAGCGTTATTAGGAGAAGACCCTTAACGCCAGACGGCACCTAACGCCGGACACTTGTATTATCTCGATAGCTAATAACGCGAGCGATTCAATTTTTAGGGGGAAATCTCCCAGTCCCGTGTTACCAGTTATCGAGATAATTCAAGTGTCCTGCGTTAGGTGCCGTCCGGCGTTACGGGACTTCCCCGTATAGGTAGGTGCATGGTCTCTAATTTTCCAAATGACGTACCTAGGCAGCAAAAAGTTGGTAAGATTTCGTAGCTAGCACCAACTTTTACCTCTAAACCTACTTTTCTTCTTAAAATTTCAAGAGCAAGCATGATGCAGGCAGCTTGATAAACTTCAGTTAATTAACTTTTACTTAGTTTCAATAATTAATATTCAGTTTATCAGAAAAAAAAAATAATTTACACAGTGTGTTTAATAATATTAATAGGGCAAGACAAAATAAAACTCATTTGTTTATCTGCCTCAGTGTCATTGTGACCGTTTGATATTATTCAAACAAAGTTCAAGAATCATCGGCGCGGGCGCACGATTGTTTTGCTAAACAAATATTATTGACACGACGTAATCTACTAGCTTAATATTTTAAATAGACTAGTATGTTTACATACGATATGTCGTGCTATAGAATTACTGAAAGGACCGATCATTTATCAAATAGTAAATTGATTGCCTTACGCCCGAATACTGTAAGTCAACTCAATGGAGGAGTTGCCAAGGAATGAAAATTAAAAATGTAATTAGTCCGCCAGTTAGGTAGTAATGAAAAAATATTACACACGTATTTTTTGTATTTTCTCGTATAAAGTTACAATACTTAGATAAAATGGAGTTAAGTTTCGGAGTACGTCGTTACGTCACTAAGTGCTACAAAATGTAGCGTATTGTGACGTCACGCGATATTCACATTATTATATTGTCGAAAGTATTTAATTTTGTGAGAAAAGAAAAATATGTGTGTAATGTTTTATATCAAACTGTCAAACACCGCGAGGGCGCCGGTGACTACAACCTATTGTTTTTTAATTGCGTCTATAATGACGGTACTCAAACAGTTAATCTACCGGACCGGCACTAAAATAAAATTTAGGCAACTACCCTATTATAAATTGTACTTAAATATCGTGCAATCTCTGTCTTATAATAAATAATTTGAAGAGAAGTGTAATTATACCTAAGCGCGACTTATTAGCCTTTCAGTATTCGGGCGTCACTTGTAAATTAGTCCCATGTTGGGCGGCAAAATGTAGGAAATAATTAACTTGAGATTTTGAAACCATTATAATTTTTTGGAGACTATTTTTAAACATAATCCATAAGTCCACCTTTTTGTACATTTTGTGCATGAAGCATTTTAAATAAATAAATAAATAAATAATCATTTGAAACAGTATTTGTCTGTCCTTTGTAACACTTGCGTACTATTTTGGCAGTCAAAGTAATTTTTGATGTTCTTTTAATCTATTTCTGCGAGAGCTCTTTTGATCTTTTTGTATGTGCTGATGTTTCATAATTACAGTTATAGATGATCTCACCTGTACTCATTCACGACTCTCTTCGCTTCATTGAGTGACTTTTCTGACGCAAACGCGTTTAATGGGTTGGTGAGAAGTATAAAATGTTTAGCGCGTCCCCAGTAGGTCTTCTGGTCATACTTGGGCTCGTCCAAGTTTATCGACATTTTGAATTATTCTGGAACAAAAGTAAATGTTCATTATGTTATGCATTTTAATGCCTCGTTGACCGAGTGGAGTTGGATCGACTGCCGGGCAAGGGGTATCGGTTTCGATTCCCGGGTCGGGCAAAGTATTACTGGGTTTTATAAAAATTCTGAGTAGTAGCACGGAGTCTGGAACTGTGCCCGGTATATGGCAATAGGCTCACCCCCTATTGCACGGGACTCAAATCAAATCAAATCAAATCAAATCAAATATTTATTGCATCCATAATGTACACATACAGGTGGTTAGAAAAATACAAATAGTAACAATTATGGACCCTGTCGGGCACAGCAACATTTAAAATTGGTAGGAGAGAGGAAGGGCGTTTCGTTAGATTACTATTAATGTTTATTTTTCAGTAGTATTAAGTTATTTACTTTTTAGCTTACACTAGCTTGTCAAATCAGTCAATTATGTAGTCAATTTATCATTTAGAAATTCGTCTATGGTGTAATAACATTTTTTAATCAAATATTGTTTTAATTTTCTCATAAATACATTGGTCTTTTCTATTTCTTTTAAGTATTCTGGTAATTTGTTATAAATTTTTATCGACATAACGTAGGGGCTAGAGGAGTGCATCTTAAGGTTAGAGCGAGGCAAGTCCAATCTGTTTTTATGTCGGAGCGAGTGGCTTGATTGTATGTCTCCTCTTTTTTTATAACAATCTGGATATTTACGAACCAGCTTGCACAATTCTAAAATATATATATTTATTAAGGTGAGAATATTATGTTTTGTGAAATAAGGTTTGCAACTATTGGTTTGTTCTATGTTGGCTATGATGCGGATTAGTTTTTTTTGTAAAATAAACAATGAATGGGCATCCGTACTGTCTCATAACATAAATAGTGAAAATTGCACCTCTGCCTACCCCTTCGAGGATAAAAGGCGTGATGTTATGTTATGCTATTCATTTTAATCCTTGGAAGATTAAGTTAAAGATAAATCTATATATTTTAGATAGAAGGTATATGCTAGTGCCAGGAACTCAAGAATTTCACTATGACGGGTCGCTCACAGTAGGTACATTAAGATCATGGAATACAGAACACAGATTAAGACATTTAAGTATTTTCCCACCAGGCGCGATGGCTCTAATTTAGGTTTCTTTGCGAAGAAGTAGTTTATACAAAAGAAACTAAATTAATAGTGACGTTTATGTTATAACATTCGTGAGACATACTAAATTAATTATTATGTACCGCCACCAGTAGCAGCGCGCCAGTCACCGCGTCGTGGGCCGCGGAATGCTGCTCATGAATATGAGCCTTTAGCCTGGCTTGAAACTAGTCGAGTTCCTTGTCAAATAATTACGTGAGTAAGCCGAAAAACATAATAATTAGTATTATATAAAAATAGTGATGTTGCTGTGCAAATTGCGTCATCAAACAGAAAATAAGTTGCAGTATGAGAATGAAATTGTTCTCTTCCCTTACAACACTGAAAATTTATCAAAATCGTAATTTATTATTGTTACCGAGAAAAAATTACGTTACATTAATGTAATATTCGTGTGTCGGAGCACACTTATCTCAATCACACGGTTGCTTAACAATTAAAAATGTTTGTTTGACTCCAGATAAGGCTTGTACCTAATTAGATAATTTTACATACTCGCTGAACGCAGAGACGCATTATTGCTATCGTTCAAACAAATCCAAGGACTTTAATGTATCACATACGTATCACAATACGTCGTTGTTTATGACTGATGGAAAATAAATATTAAAATCATGCGTTTTAAATTATTTGAAAAAGTTTCAATATTTTCTTATCCGAACATCGAAATCTTAGGTCATTTGGGCCTAACGTGTAAAATATACTACATACAGTAAGTAGGTACTTAATATCAAATGGTACATTACGTTTATTATTAAGGACTGAAGGACGGGATTCCAATTTCTTATTTTGTAGGTACTAGGTATTCCAGGATGTGTCCGGTATAATCTGAAAATAATATTTATACAGTTAGGTAAGTTACTCATTACGGAAATAAAATCACTCGGGTATATTATTAAAATCACTCGGGTATATTCCAAGTACCTGAGGTACCAACCTTCTTGCTAGAGGTTCGGTAACCAAAGTTCTTTCAGAATTAGATTGTAAGTGAGCTGTCCTAGATTTGATCAACTTCTTGTGCTTTTTCGTACCAATTCATTCACCTTCAATGATTTTGAATTATGTATCACAAAACGTGGTTATTATTGCCGAAGGAATCTAAGGATTTCTCCCATCGTTTAACTCTCAAGAGACAGACATTTTATACCGCTATTATCCTTTATTAGGGAACCACGTAGGTAATAAATAGATAGGTAAGTAAATACCCAGCAATATCTGACGGCATTTACGTACATAAAATGTAGATTAGAGCATAAAAAATATTTTCCAAAATATAATTTCAATTCGTAAACAACAATCTAATATAAAAATGACAGACTGATTTTTTTTTCAGCATCCAGAATTCCAGCGTGACGGATGTACTCAGCTTACGAAAGAGGTTTTACCTAAATAACTATTATAGTTGCATTTGACCCATAAGCCAAAATACTTGAAAATACTGACACGCTACCATAAAACGGGGTGAATAAAATTCGAGAGGTGAATAAATACAGGAAAGGGGTGAATAAATATTAAAACAACTTCTAAATATTTATTCACCCCTCTTCTGTATCTATTCACCTCTCCAATTCTATTCATCCTGTTTTACCGTTACTCAATTTTAAGTCGCGCTTAAGTATAACTATACCTACTTAAGCGAGACTTAAATAGAACTTCTCTCACTATAATTTTTTTGTGAAATGACAAATATAACACAATAACAGTACCTACAACTTAAATAGTAGTCTTTCAGTATTCGGGGGTTATAGTACCTAACTAAAGCAGAATGAAATAAGTTCTGTTCACGTTCGATCCGGAGATCCGGCAACCCATTAAGCCTTTCGCAGCTCGTTAACTTTTTGCAAAATTGTTAAATCGAAGAAATTACGCAATCACTGAAGAGAGTCTTTAATAATGCACCTAACTCCATCGACTGGCAATAGATAAAGAGGAAAGGAACCAGAACTAAAGGTGTGGTAAAAGAAGGTTGGTTATCGGGCATGGTGAAGCCATAAAAATCTTGGTTATCATCATATCGATATCACGACAATTGTGATAGTACAAATCACTGTAGATTATTTTCTATCAAGATTGTTTATTGATAAAAAATTACGATTTTTTTATAAATCATAAATTATGTAAAGTTATTACCTACTTACTTAAAGTATTATGTATTTAAAAACTTAATTAATGAAGTCCCTTTGACTTTTTTTAGTTTAGCAATGTTAATTTTACGCCAAAATTTCGCTTAAATTAAGTGTCATTTACAGAATTTGCACACATGTTAATTAATTGCATATTAATTTTATTCATTTAAATGTTCAACAAAATTCGGGGTGAACGTTTTTACTCTTTTGTATGCTAAATCGTTAAACTGACACCGAAATTAACACAACTATACGTTTTATAATCATAAGAGTGACCTACGACTTCTTATCGGTATTTTAAAAGGTCTTAGGGACTCTAAATAAAACAGAGAATATAATCATTGTTTATTACGTATTGATCAATAATGTTATCAAATCATTTATCTTAAGGTCTTAACCTTACTTCACAATCCAATTTCTAGGTACGTTTAGTGAATAATACAATTTTTAATTGTACATGACACGTTTAGATATTTTTTTTCAATAAATTCGTGTTTTCTATAAAAACACTTACCTTTTACACACCCCTTTCTTTTCGCTTTATAAGCGAAAAACTATACTTATATAAAAATCACTTTGTTTAAATGTTTAAAAAAATAATTTTAGTTTACTATGAGGTAGTCACATGCATTCTGTAACACTTTAAAACCAAAAAACACCAATTTTTTACGACGCTGTGTTCAAATGTTGCGCCGTGACAAGCACTTGAATGGTGACGTAAAAATCAATCCGCCCGCACTTGGCATTGGTTCGATAATTTTAGTAGGTGTTGCCAGTAACTTTACATTTAGCTACTATAATATATAGTCTTCACATGCATTTTTTTAAATTTTGACGTGCAGTTTGCACGTTGCGTACGTTTGAATTACGTCTGATTTCTTCATGTTATTCAGAATTTATTTCGTTATATTTTAAGAAATGATTTATTAATCCGTTTGTATAAAAATACTACTGAATAATTATTTTGTAGCGTGGCAATCAAAGAAGTTTCATTTTACGCTAACGCATATCAAGTTCATCAATCTATTTCTAACTTAATGAATGCACCGGATACTTAAGGACGTGAAAGGATTGCACTTACACAATTTTTTGAAATTATCGTGGCTATTAATTAAAGCTCTAATTTCTGATTAAATATCTAAATCTAGTTCTTTATAAGGACTGTCCCCGGAAGGGAATCAGCTGGCACCTGTCATTTTCTGTGTAACGAACCGCGTTGTAGGTTAGGTTACGTCTTTGCAAAAATCTGATCCAAAAATAATTTTGTGATAAAATAGCCTTTTTAAAAAGGTTTCAAGCAAATTAACGATGTCGCTCCTAACCAGAAACGTATGCCGTGCGCTGATGCAGGTATTGTATGAATTTGATTGTTTATTAACAAAACTACCATAGAATGTCCTGGCCGTCTGTTTCGTAACTTGTCTGTTATGAATTATTATCATTTCGCGAATATGTTTACTATTTGTACCGTTTTATTTAGACATCTTAACGTTATCGTGTTGTGGGCTAAGTTATTGTTTTGATAAAATGTATATTTTTTTTTATTTTTTGCAATCTAGCTCACGTGATCTTCTCTAATAATATCAAGTGCTTGAAACCGCAGTATAATAATATGCGTCTCATTTTCCTGATTGGCGAAATATGATAATACTAACAATTAGCTTTAAGCCACCATTTAATCCCATAGTATTCCATGTTGTCTTAGATAAGAAAGTTAAGTTTCTTTATAACAATAACTTTTTGTTGTAGCCTATTATTCGGATCCGACCACCTTATTCGAGTAAATATTTAAAATAATAATAATGGCATTCCTCTATATTGGTTTTGACTACAAACTTGGTATTAACTCGTCGAGTACCGTCATTATAGACACAATTATAGAACAATAGGTTGCGGTCACCGGTGACCGCTTGGTGTTTGACAGTTTAAATTATTTTATATTAATTTTTATTTATGTTGATTTTGACTGTATGTATGCATTAGAGTACATAATAATTCAATATTTACAATACGAAAAAGTAACATTTTATTTAAATTATTTATTTCTTTTCACAGGGAACCTATATGACCCACATGGGTAAAGGTGTTCACACAACTTCGGTAAACACAGACAAAAACGTATGTTACGCCCCACACAGTATCAGCACCTTGGTGAGCATACTAACTGTCTACTAATACCTCGCTGTACCGTAATAAAGCAAGTATATGAATAAAATTAGAACTTACGTACAAGTTACGTAGAATAAAGTTTAACTAAAGTTCCTCACTATTTTAAGTAACGCACACGTTAAGCATTTACTAAGTACTCTTTACATATTTGTGTCAATATTTCTATTAAAAAAACTTGCTTTATTACCTTTCTGCGTAAACGAAAAAATGTATTGTATTGGTTTATTCAAAATTCAAAGTTATGATTTACATTAGAATTGGCTAGTGATTTGGTATTCAAAATATGTCAAAGTACTATTGGAATTTGAAATTAATTTGAATATTTAGTTATTTTAATAGGTTTCCTTGTGAAACTACAGAATGATGATCCGTAAGCTATGAATTGTTGAAATGCAATGCATGCAACCCCTTTTTGTATATTTATGTCTTAATTGTGTTCTAAAAGACACCATTCTATTCTTCTAATGCCCCTTTTCACAAACGTCTTTTATATTTGATCCAAAATTTAGAATGACATCAATTTTTTTGTTACATTAGTATCAATAACATAAATAACTTAAAAAATCTGATTTTTATCCTAAACACTTCTTTCAAAATTGTATGAATGTTATTTTAAAAAATCCTCTTTGGTCATACAAATTGATGACTATATTACTTAATACATTGCCATAAACAAACACACACTTCTCAATATTGACACATTCAATTAGAGAATAGGATGGTCCTCCTATATAGCATGATGTTATACATAACTTAAATGTTAGATATATACACCCTGAAACTGCAGACAAAATTTATCGAAAAATGCATGAAACAGAGCTAAAATTCGATTACAAAATTCGGCATTTATATTGGTACTCTATAATTAGGCTAGCAATATTTGAAAAAATAAAAGGTAAGGAGGATGTATAAAAGATTCCTTTTTTAAATTATCTAAGCTGCCAGTTCAAAGGGTTGAAATGAGTTTAATGTGTAGCATGCAACCTCATTACAATGTCTATGTGTTGTCCAATCTGTTGATAACTATAACATTGGATCATTTAACCAGAAATGGTAGTGTAAATGTATTCACTGCTGTTGTAAAGTTCACTTATTCTTAGACTGAATGATGTATTTGTAAGTACTGCTGATATACTTCAGATATACCCTGATACTAGAAACTGGTTTCTTGGTAAGTAATTTAATTAATACCGAAGAAAATCACAAAGATATTTATACTTTTACAAAAAAGTCAACATAATTACATTTAAGGGTCTAGGATGACTAATAGACACAAGTCAATTACATGCCAAAATATAATCTTTGAACTGTAAAATCACGGATATCATTAAGATATTTCTTGTTAGTATTTACACTTGAAGAGATAAGTACCGTTTGACCTGGCCTTACAGTGTTATCAGTGTCTAACATTACGCTGTAAGTCCTAATGATTGTTTCATAGTCTCGCTAATTATTATTTACACTAGTTTATTGCGTCTAGCTGACGACATGTGAATGAAGTATAATAAATTAATGGTTGTACACATAATTATGTTTTATCGTTTATATAGTCAACTTTATGTTTGAACCTATTACAAATATTTTTGAGAATATTTCAAAGTTCATTATCTTGAAGAGTTTTAATAAGTATTTGACTAAGAGGGTATGGTCAACGGTTACAAGTCAACTTACACCGTAAAGGTATGAATAGACTACAATACTATGCACTGTGTGTACACTTAGTGTATAAATATAATGTCGGTGTATGAACAAGATTGCTGCAACTGGAATATTAATTGTGACAGAATAATCATGTTGCATAAGCCATATTATGTTCCGTATAAATGGGAACAGTACAGATATTTAAGGTATATACAGTCTCTGGCATTTGTGTCTGGATTTGTGTTGTAGTCTAAATATACTGCTTGCGCTACACGAGCTGC